GATTGACTTTCCATCTCGAATTGACTTCACCATGTCTTCGGAACATTTCATTCCAGAAGCTTGGATATAGTCGATCACTCTTTCTTCGGCATCTTCGTACGACGATCTTGCCTTTCCATCGTTTTCATCTTTTGTTGAAATTATATGTTTCACAACTGTAGAACTCGAATTGCTCTTGACTTTCTGAGGAGTCACACGTCCCTTTCCACCACCGGAAGAAGAACGTCCCAGAGTACTAGCACCTCCTGGATATTCAAAGGTCACCGGTCATCTAGTATGGGATGTGAAGATGGATTTCACTTGCAAAGCCAGATGGGTACTTGATGGTCACAAAACACCTGATCCCCTGTATTCTCAGTATGCAGGAGTGGTATCACGTGAGAGTGTCAGAATTGCCTTCACTTACGCTGCCTTGAATAAGCTGGACGTTTTTGCTGCCGATATCCGAAATGCTTACCTTCAAGCACCCTCATCCAAAAAGGACTATATCATTTGTGGTCCTGAATTTGGATTGGAGAATGTTGGAAAGGTTGCCTTGATTCATCGTGCCTTGGGACTTCAGGAACCATCTCAGAGCCTGTATGCATCATCTGGACTTCCTGTCATGCCCTGCTGATCCCGATGTTTGGATGCATCCGGCTATGAAGGACAATGGCTCCGAATATTGGGAATCTGTCCTTCTATACACCAATGATGCGCTGTGTGTCTCTATGGATCCGGAAAGGGTTCTCCGAAAGGAACTTGGGAAGTATTTGAGCTGAAAGAGGAGAGCATTGGCCCTCCAAAAATCTATCTTGGGAGTAATGTACAAAAGGTTGAGTTGGATACTGGTGTTCAATGCTGGGCATTTGGATCCTCCCAGTATGTCCAAGCCGCTGTCATGAATGTTGAGAGATACCTCAATGACCGTTGCAAGGCAGGAGATGAGCGATTTAAACTGAAGCCCAAGGCTATGACGCCGATGCAGACCTCCTACCGACCTGAGCTTGATGTGAGCCCAGAATTGGAGCCGTCTGATGCCTCATATTATCAGTTGCTGATCGGAGTCCTACAATGGATTGTTGAGCTTGGAAGAGTTGATATCTGCCTTGAATGTTCTTTGATGTCTTCACAACTGGCTATGCCAAGAATAGGACATTTGCATCAAGTGCTGAACATTTTCTCTTATTTGAAATCTCATCACAACGCTGAGTTGGTGCTTGATCCAACCTTTCCTGTGATCGATGCTGCGGGATTTGAAAGGAAGGATTGGTCAACCAGCAAATTTGGCCACATAGACAACTTGAAGGAAGAGCTGCCTCCAAATCAGCCAGAACCAAAAGGCATTGGATTTGTTACAACTGCCAAGGTGGATGCTGATCATGCCTCTGACACAACTACGAGACGTTCTCAAACTGGTTTCTTTGTGTGGGTAAATGGTGCATTGGTGTACTGGATGGCAAAGAAGCAGACTGCAGTTGAGTCTAGCAGCTTTGGAAGTGAATTCTGTGCAATGAAGTTGTGCTGTGAATATCTTTGTGGCTTGCGATACAAGCTACGGATGACGGGAATCCCTGTACTTGGCCCGTCCTTTATCTATGGAGATAATAAGTTGATGTTGGCCAATACAAGTATCCCTGACTCTCAATTGAAGAAGAAATCTCAGTCCATTGCGTATCACTTCATCCGTGAAGGAGCTGCAAAAGACAAATGGCAGACGTTGTATGTCAACACACATGAGAATGACGCTGATTTATTGACTAAGCAACTGCCCTATGGTCAAAAGCGACAAAAGTTTGTGAAGCGCCTGATCCATCATATCTATGAACACAACTAATTGATATTGATCGATATGTTTTTCGATATATCTATGATACTGATCGATGTGTAATTCGATGTATCTGTGTGCTGGTGGATGTAGGTCTCTGACCCTGACGGAACCACGTATTTTGTTGAAAACCTTATATTTTACTGTTTGTCTGAGTCTGAGCAAAGTCCTCGCCCCATTTGCAATCTGTTACGTTTTAGCGCTTTTCCAGCTTGAGAGGAGTGTTATAACGTCAGGCAGACAGATGAAACGACGGTTAGTCCGCCAAATTGAACGTTGGTGAACGTTAGCGATGCTAGCGATCGTTTACGTGCATGTTTTTGCACACAATTCAATTAATTTTCAGACAACAAGGTTTTACGTCTTTTCCTTTGTCATCACCCAACATCAAAACACTCGCCTCTCCGTGGCCCTCTTGGACTGCCATGTTTGTTTTCTGGATTCCACCCTTGATCAAATGTTCTTGGACGCTGAGAACGACTTCCAACGCCGTGAACTTTCTCTCGCTGGCCTTGCTAATCTTACTCTTTGGCTAGGATGGCTCCAATCCTCAGAGTGTTTTGGTCTCAATTGGGAAGATTGCTCCCTTGTGGAGCCTGCTGATCACACAGTTGAAGACCTTCCAACCAACTGCGGTATGGTCAAATTTTGACTCAATCCTGTCACCAAGTCAGACCGCGCCCAGAAGGCTGACGTCATTATCGCTTATACCACCCGATCGGGTTTATCAATTGGAAAATGGTTTCGCCGGACACAAAGGTACAGGGCCTAACCTACAGGGCCTGTTTTCTGCCATGTTACTGGTTCCACTTGGACCTCCCACTTCTTTCGGTCCACTTACTTGTACCCCAGTCTCCACAAACAACATAACGATGGAGAGCCTCTTCTTTGGCCTTATGATAGCACTCCTGGCAACTCCATTGCAGCCGCTTCTGGTCCCTTCACTGCTACCGCCGCGGGGGCCGCACCCACGTCTCACAGGGAGATTCCAAAAAAAACAAAAATACAAAACCAACACGCATATCCGGGTCCTAAAAATATCACTTTCGGTACTTCGCCTACACAAATTCTCTGTAGCGAAACACAACTTGATCCTCCTTTTTGCGTCAAAACTGACAATGGGAAAGTTGAAGAACAACAAGAAAGTGGCAATCGCTGCTAAAGCTGCGATTGCTCATCCTTCTCAATCGCTTTGGATTTCGCAGACTCGCATCGTTCAGAACATCGATTCGTCTCAGTGGAACCTGCAGACCCTTGCTTATCTATGCACAATTCATCGTGCTTGGGGTCGACACAACAATAAAAAAGAAGTGGCCTTTGGGAATGAGCTGTTCTTGGCATGGGAGGACGAGCCCAATTTCCACTGGCCTTGGTATGAAGGGTATTCCGAAAATTTAGTAGATCCTCCAGCGACTGAATCCTGGGAGGAAGCAGCCGTGAAACTCCTAAAGATTTGTGATGGGGGCTGGAACTTGGTCGAGCAACGCATTCAAGCTGCTCTCGACCGAGACATCAAGGACGAATTTATTGGGAAAGTCCGGGAGCTAGTTGTCTATGTGCAAGGATTGATTCTTGGTCTGGCAGTACAAGATCCTCTTGTGATTTTTCTTTTGGACGACCCGATGGACGAGACTACGTTTTTCAATTGGTATTGGGATTTTACTTTGGAGGATGAGACCCGTTTACTATTGGAATTACGCCCTCTGGCTAAAGTATGGGCCATTGCGGTTGAACTCCTAGGGCATCCACATGATTTCTCTGATTTTTATCAAGTCCTTGTGGTCATTTTCACCCTCTTTCGCACGAAGCCAATATGATTGACTTTACTTATTACAAAGAAATCACCACTCAACTATTTAATAGTCCTAAATTTTGTTAAGCATCCAACTGTGTTCGCTGTAGTTTGCCATAAGGGGCTGGTGAGTTTACGACAAAAGCGGAACATCTGTAAATTGTCGTAAATTCTTTCAAATGCCCTACAAGAAATCTACGACAATTTCTGTTGTAATATTCAACAATTTTTTGTCGTAATTTACGACATTTACGACAGTTTACGACAAAATACACGGAGTTGACGGCAGTGCATGCGTACTTTGATAACAGGACCCTTCGCAACTCCTCTGTCGATTGACCGTTTTCTGAGCGGATAGACAATGCACATGCGCGCGTTGCATCCCCCCAACAGCAGGGGTCCCACCATAAAATAAAAAGACATTTCGAAACAATTCAAATGGATCGAAATGATTCATCACAACACGCAAAACGATTCAAAGGATTTCGAAACGATTCAAACGTTAATTGGACCAGAGAGTGTCCGTCATTCGTACGTTTAGATAGTTTAACCTAGAGATTCGCACACATCTTGTAAAATCCCCATGTTTGTCATCGTACTCGTTTTCGTCCTGAACCTCTCGTACCTCGCTACTCAATTTAACGGTTTATCAGACCCAAGCAATCCACAATGGGTAGAGGAGCCTGGGAAGGCTTTCAAATAATATCTGTTTGAGGAAATTGCCTCATTCAGCCATGGTTAGGATCACCATCGTTGTATCGATCTCGTGATTTTTTCATGCCACAATTTTGGCGTTCGGATGCGCACCAAAGGCTAATCTTGTCGCAGCGTTAACTAAATTGTTCGCTAGTTAAGGCTAAACGGCAGACGTGCCATGCTTGCAACCATCCGTGCCACGTTTATATACAGCTCTCAATATGAGATGCTTCGACATTTAGGGCTAAATTATTTGAAGTTGCCAGATATCACCAATGTTCGCCTTCTGGCGATTCTCTCCAGTGATTTCCAACTTCAAGTCCGACACTTTTTCGACCTGAAACCAAACAACACATCAAAAAAAAACAAAAAAAAATCAATCGTCAACACATCATTGCATCACAATGGCAGCTGTTATTCAATTTTGTAACTGGTGCGAAGTCGATCTCCTTATTCGACCCGTTCTCATGCAAGGTCTTGACTCTGTTGACTCCTTTGCCAACAGAACTTCTTCTCAAGTTTGTGAAGACATCAAGTCTATGCGAAGAGCCCCTGATCCCAACAATGCAAATGGGACTATCGGAGTCACCGCTTGCGAAGCGATGACTATTCATCGTATCTCCAAATATGGGAAGCTCCTCATTTTGGTTCAGCAAACACATACACCAGCCCTTGGAACCATTCAGAATCTCCTTTTTATTGGTCAATTCTATGATGAAAACCCGGATCTCATGGAAGGGGACTCCTACCCACTTCCTCCTCATCCTCCAAAGTTCAACAATCGCGATGGTCGAATCATGATGGAAAATATCGAAAGTTGGGCTCGTACTGCCTATGGTTACCGTGGAATTCGCCTTGATTATATTTTCCGTGAAAACTCGGCATTTCCACTTGTCGGTGACCCTGGTTTTCTCAAAGCCGATGATGGCACTTGCTCCATTGAGGAAGAACTCGTCCGACGTGCTGCTCATACTGGCGCTGTGTTCCGTCGCAACAAACAGAAATTTTGGGTTATGCTCCATGCCGTCACTAATGAAACCGATGCTTACAATCACGTTCGTCAATTTGCTCCATTTTTGAATGGTCGAGCTGCTTACTTTGCTCTTTTTGCACAATATTGTGGAGACGCGTTTGCAATCCAAGACCTCGCCCAGGAGTGACAGGGCCTTGCTCACTCGTTTCTCTTTCAATTGCAATGTCTTTGTTGTCGCGCCCCAGTTCCAACCTAAGGCTTCTTTGATTGTGTGCCAAGAGGCATCTCCCTTGGCCATTTTCGATTGTGACTGTGGCTCTTTTCGCCATTGGTTGTCTGTGGGCCGATTCGGTTGGAAGACCTTGTCAATGTTGTGGCTGACGACAGCTCGTTGACTTGTCAAGGGATTGCTTGGATGGTCTTGGTCCATTCCAACAAAATTGTCCACAAATACTTCCATCTTTTTCAATGGGCGCTGGTAAATCAGTGGCTGGTGAGATTTTGGTATGGGTCTCGCGACTTGTGTGTCCCTCACTTCAAAGTTAGTGATGGCTGCTGCCCTTCCCAAAGGATGCGGTGGCACTCGCTTGTTTTGTTGCAAGTCAACATTTGTCAAGTCGGCAACAGTTTCCGTGAAAGCACAGAACCATGGAGGACTTTCTGTCCAACCCATTGGAAGCACAAGTGGCAGTGCGACCAATTGTGGGAGTCCCTCAAATCGCGGTAAAATGACCCCAAGCTTGAGTGCGCCGGTAGTTGACAGTCGGATGCGGTAGAAACCATCCGACATGTCGTTCTTGTACATGTAAACTGGCCCATAGTCCGGATTCGCCTTCATGAGTGCCTCGCGGATGCGTAGTGGGGCCGTGCCGAATTGCATAGCTCCCTCTGGGGCAAGTTTCATTGTCTTGTTGTTGAGTCCCCAGAACGAATAATCAACAATCATCCGTGGTCTTCTGTTATCTTGTGGTACACAGCCAATTGGAGAAAGGCGAAGTCCTTTCTCGTCCTTGATTGCATCATATGGAAGTAGGATCCAAAATCCCTTCCTTCCAAAATCGAACTCCTCCATCAGAAACTCTTTTAATTCGTTTGCTGATGAGTGACAGCCCCGAGCTACTTGCATGTCAAGTTGGCTCTGGCGCCATGGCTCCGAATGAACCACCACAGGAGCCCCATTTTTTATTGCTCGGTGTAGCATTGGTGCGGCAGGGTGCTAAAGTAGATCGTAACGAAAGTGGGTCTGATTGAGATGACCTGCAAGAATTCGATGATTCCCGGCCTCCATCTCGCTTATTCTTATTTACATAATCCTTCATTGCGGTTGCTTCCTCGTCAGTCAGCTTACAATGGGAATGCTTACGTTCACAGTTCTCCTTGCATTCGCCCTTTGTGTGCCAAATGAGGCACAGTTCCTTTCCGTTGGCGTGCTTTGGAGGCTGTTCGCCTGTCCGTTTGATTAACTCAGTAGTAGTTCTTCCGGTGTAGCGATGTTCTTTGTTCATGTCAGGATTTTTTACTGATTCGCCCAGGCACTTCTTCTGGACCCTTTCCTTCTCTCTCTTCAGCTGACTCTCAGTCTTGTCTCCTGTTCCACCAGGTCCGCCAGAGTCCTTTGCGACGACAAACAAGTTTGACTCTGGTAGGCTTCCTCCATGGTAGCATGTCTCCATGTAGGTGCCCAAGTCGGATAGGTTTTCTTCTGCGTTCGTGCCGGATCTCACCAAACGCTCAAAGTAACGATCAATTTGGGAATAGATTCCGAAGAGAAATCGCTCGAGTGCTTGCTCCTGCTGGGACACTCCCATTTTTTGTGCGATCGAATCCACATTCTTTGCAAACTTTTTGTACACGGCTGTCAGTGGATGAGTTTTCCCAAGCACTACACGGTAGAATACCCGCATACCATTGACCATCTCACGGAACTGCATGGGATCCTTTGGGAAGATAGCATGCTTGATCTTGTCGTGGGCTTGATGATCCTCCATTGAAGCGGTTGTCTTTTCGCCCGTCAACCAATAGTCGCTCTTGTTGTAATCGTTGATCGCAGTTGCATTTTTGTAGTGCTGGAAACAGACACTATTAAACACGTTCAAACCCTTTTCAACGTTGCCGTGCAAACAAAATTCCAATTCCACCAGGCTCTTAATTACTCGGGCTGAAACGATGAATTCCAAATTGAGGTTCAGTTTCTCGGCCTCATCGTCCAGCAGGGACTGCACAATTCCAATTGATTTGTGCTTCTTACACTTTGCTAGCTCGTGCCAGAGGGTGGGAAGCTGAGCTGAGGTCGTAGTACCAGCAACTCGCTTCAGATAGATGAGTCTTGTGGGCCACTTCTTTTCCACTGTATTTGGGGGCGCCTTGTCTGATGCTTGTCCATGGATGCCCGCTACCACTACCTCCGAAAGCGATTCCACGGAGGTCTTGGTCGTCTTATTACTCTCCTCAACGGCTGCCAAGGTCTTGGTGAGCAGTTCGTAGGTCTTGTCGGGGGAATCTCCAATTGAGTCCTCTGAGTCCAATCCGGCAAAATCCGAATTGATTACTCCGGAAACCCAACGTTGGGCAGATGCCGCAGTGAGAACAGCAGGTTCTCTGACGTTCTTCTTTGAAAGCTGATCTCTCCCGATGACCGTGTTTGCCACGCGCCAATGGTCCACGAAGTGCCGGAACTTCTCATGCACTTCCAAAATTTTTTCAGGCTCCTTGCTGTTGGCGAGAATCTTGATTCTGTCAATCACCAATTGCAAGACTTTGCGTGCCAACAATCCGTCCCAAGCAATATCCAAGAACTCCTTGGGAATGGGCATTTGCTTGCGTGTAACCAGTAGGTTGTAAGCCGTCTCAGGATCTTTGTCAGTGATATCCTCCATCACAAACAACTTGGAGTGATCCTGCTCGAGCTCCTCGTTTATCAACCACGCCTCCAACCTCGGAACCTTAACCGGATCGGTTTTTGAGAAGGCCTTTGCCGGCCAAGAGAATGCCAGTGGGTCGCTCCCGTTCTCCATAACGTCATGGTCCAGCACGTACAACTTATCGAAATGCTGCTCTTTCTTTTCGCCAACCGTTGTGTACCTAATCATTGGACAATGCCAAAAATTAAAGTTGTTCACCTGTTCCTTGGGCCATCCCGTGTACCAGGCGGGGGCGCCTCCTTGTACACCCTTTTCGACAAGGCTGTTTAGATCTTGCAACTGAAGGTCCTTGGTGGGATCAAAGGCATCAAGGACCGCCTTGGAATCATGGTTTGGGTAGCTTGCCTGGGTGGTGAGATAGCGGTAGCTCTTTTTGCGCACGGTGAAGTCCGTAATGGTCATGATGATGGGTGTTGCAGGTAGAAAAGCCGTGTGCTTTTGTAATCTGAATAACTATCTATTCCTAAACTTCAAATTCACTCTGTCAAATACAGAGCAGTCTTTTCAAAAGGAACGAGCTGCAACTGAGCTGCAGCTCATTCACCAACTTCTTTCACAACCTCTTTGGTACGTAGCTTTCCACTGTCCTGCTACTGTACCTTCTTTGCATACGTACTTGGGCGTTCCGATCAGTCCGTCCTTCGCTAGCCAACACCTGCAGCGATTGCTCATCCTTCTCAATCGCTTTGGATTTTGCAGACTCCAATTGGGCCTAAAAGAGTTTCAATGATGTTTTTGGGCTGACAGTTGTTACTAGCTGTTGGCCCCCAATCCCCCAGCGCAAGCGCTGGTTTCCTCCAAGGGTGAGGTGGGACTAGGGTAATCTTAATAACTATCTATTCCTAGACTTCAAATTCACTCTGTCAAATACAGAGCAGTCTTTTCAAAAGGAATGAGCTGCAACTGAGCTGCAGCTCATTCACCAACTTCTTTCACAACCTCTTTGGTACGTAGCTTTCCACTGTCCTGCTACTGTACCTTCTTTGCATACGTACTTGGGCGTTCCGATCAGTCCGTCCTTCGCTAGCCAACACCTGCAGCCCATTCTATCTTGCTACTTTGGGAAAGGCAAAATGCTGGTCCTCTGTGCTGTTTTGACAGAATTCTAACAGGAATGGGATTCATGACCCAGACCTTAACGATTCCAGAGATTCTGTCTTGCTACTTTGGGCAAGGCAAAATGCTGGTCCTCTGTGCTGTTTTGACAGAATTCTAACAGGAATGGGATTCATGACCCAGACTGTTATCCACGAAAAACCCCCCTTCCCATACCCACTTTTGGGCTTTTCTAAAAAAATATCACCATAGAAATTAAAAATGGTCATTTTTAGAATAGATGGTATTAACGCCAATAAGACAATGAGGCAGTGGGAACCCCCCCCCCCCCCCCCAATTCTCCGTGAGTTGCAAGATTTTCCTATAACATGTTTTTTCCCACAACTCATTTTTTCCCACAACTCTATTTTGATTCCCACAACTAGTTGTGGGAATTCCCTCAACAGTTGTGGGAAAACTGTCATTTTATGCAGAAAACTACGCAGGATGTGTACTGACGACTCTAATTGTAGTTGTGGGAAGTTTCCCACAACTCTAATTGTAGTTGTAAAAAGTTTCCCACAACTGTAATTGTTTTGTGGGAATTCCCACAACTATTGTGGGAAAACTGTCCGTTACAAGCACACATAAAACAGCGTAGGATATGTACTGACTAAAAATATACAGTACATATGAAGTTTCCCACAAATCTAATTTTTTTCCTCAATATTTCTTGTTATATAAAGGGCAAAAATAAAGGACAAATAAGCAGGATAACCCAACCTCCCAATCGGAAAACATTTAAGAAGACATCCCACAACTAGTTGGGGAATTTCCCACAACTAATTTTTCTGATTCCTACAACTACTGTAGTTGTGGGAATTTTGGCAAAAAACTGTTCCCACAACTAGTTGTGGGAAATTGCGTTAAATATTGCGGGGATGAAACAGAATGAAAAGGGGGAATTCCCACTGCCTCAGTGCAAACGGCAATTTTTTGGGGATTTTAGCCCTATGCTCAAAAGTACTTTGCGACAATTTTTGATTTCTGGATGATGAATCAACTGATTTGCATCACCACTCACAATGGGACAATGATTGAGGGCAAAATGGAAGCCAAAGAAGGTAACTACGCCGGTTACAACACAGACACCATCTACAACACGTGTTCCAGAAGAGCAATGGGGTTTGATTTGCAATCATGCAAGGTCAGAGAGTGGTGTGATAGCTATCGACAAGAAAATGAAACAAGCACAGAAGAGGCTCAAAGCGACACGACCAAATGAAGGATTCCTCTTCCCTTTCCTTCCCTTCTTTTGTCCCCAAGGTCCAAGGTCTACTATGGTTTCTGTGTTGCTGTGGCAGTTGCTGATGGCAATTGATGAAGATGTTGATGAGAATGGCAAAGACTGCCACTGTGGAGAGAATGGAATGAATTAAAGAAGACGAAGAGTCGTAGGTAATGTAGTGCAGGCTTGGATGTAGGTAATATGTTAGCTTTCCCTCGGTACTGCAGTGGTAATGTTGACAAAGGTGATGTCTTGGATGCCATTTTGGTTCCATTTTGGTTCCATTGGTACGGAAAAATTCCACAAGGCACTTGGTGGAATTTGAGCGCAAACCTGGTATTTTCTGTATGTCATCAGTTTCCGAACCCATTGCGCACTTCTATGCGCTCGCCCGTTGAGAGTTCTTCAACCACATCAATTTTCCCTTCCATCGGCAATGGTGAGCCTTGAGGCCGAGGAAAGCATCACCCTCTGGAGGAAAACTTGTGGGTTGCCGACATTCTCTGCATTTTGACCGTATCCATCTTGTTTATGAAGCGATATGGATGAATTTGCTCCTTTAGCTACCAGAAACTAACAAGTAGGAATCAGTTTCCTTGCCTGTCACTGACTTCACCCTGTTGTCACCTTGTCCAACACTACCATGTCATCTGAATATTCTTCAACAAATCACCTCACACAAGAGGAACTACAACAGGACGTCCAATCTCAGTTACTGACGCTCAAGAATGGACAGCTGAGCTTCCGTTTATGGGTCTCTGTGACTATGATGACAATGAATCAGTTGACCTCTTCTTGTTTGTTACAAATGGGCCTAAATTTACAAGAGCACAATTCAATCTAGATCAGTGACCACCTACAAATGCAGGTAGAAAGAAGTTGCTCATGCACTTGCAGCAACTTGCTCTTAAGTGAAGTATGGCACCGATTTTGAGAGAATGTTATTATTCTTGGTGAACGCTCGAGATTACACTAGAAGATAAAGATATAAGACTGCTAACGTGTGAATCGTATTGCTCCGAGTCACAAAAACCCGTTCTTGATACAATTCTGTCACTCCCCAAATGGGTGAGTGAGTGAGGACCTAATCCTCCTCAGCTGTGTCATCTACTCAGGAAAGTAGTGTACGTAGCTGTGGCCATATTTGTTGATATCTTTTGCTAAGGATATCGGCCAGGTGTTTAGCACCTTCAATGTGTAGAAAGGAGGGCATATTGTATGCAATAGCCTCTCTAAAACGGTGGAACGACAGTACAATATGTCGCTTGTGCGGTTTTGTATTAGGTCTTGATGTGCTGTTGGTAACAGTCTCAGTAGTCTTGGTTCCATCAATATGAGGCAAAGAAAACCTTTTCAGGTGAAAAACTTTGTTCACATGACTTAATGGCAACAAGGCATGCCATATGTGTAGGTGGTACAATGTTGTCTTATACCGTTTAGTTATATGCGGAGGCAAGCCATCAAGGAGTGGCTCATTGCCTTCGAGCAGTGGTTACAGACCAGTTGTCTGCTCCCCATGAGTCTGAGCAACAATATGGTCAGAATCCATTTGGTCTTCAGTTGAAGTGGTCAATTGCTTCATCAATGTTGAACGGTCGTGAATGTTTATCAAATGATGTGAAATCTTGGACCTGGAACACCCGGCAGATCGATGACTTTAGAATTCCTTGTGGTTCCTTCTCGCGAGATGACTACAGTAACTCACGAAGAAGACATTTCTCATATATAAGAACATCTTGTCATTCATAAATAGTTTAGAACCAAAAGGGACATTTTTTAAATCTTTAGTCATTAATAATCTATTTAGAGGTCCAGCTAACATAATGATGGAAAAACTGCTTTCAGGTCGCGACTCATTACTTCTCGTTCCGAATAAAAATTACTCGTTCCGAGTAAAAATTACTCGTTCCGAATAAAAATTACTCGTTCCGAATAAAAATTACTCGTTCCGAATAAAAATTACTCGCCTTGCAATGTGAGTTATTTCTCGTTTTGGTGGCTTCTCATCGTTTTGGTGGCTTCTCATCGTTTCTGGAAGTC